GAGGAGTATGCTGAAAAGGTATGTCGACGGCATAAGTCTCTTTATGGACTGAAACAGTCACCACGAACCTGGTTTTCTCGCTTTAGTGTTGTAGTTGTACGTTTAGGGTTCACTAGTTGTCATTCTGATCATACATGCTTCATTCGACGAAATACTTCTGGACAGTGTGTCATCCTTTTGGTATATGTTGATGATATTATTATTACTGGAGATGATGTTTCTGGAACTGTGCAGGTTAAGGTAAAACTTGGGAAGGCCTTCGATGTGAAGGACCTTGGTTTTTTGCGATACTTTATTGGATTGAGGTTGCCCGTAGCAATAGGGGTATTGTTCTTTCTTAGAGAAAGTATGTTCTAGATCTTCTCTCAGACACTAGAATGTTGTGGTGCAAATCGGTATCATCACCTATGATTCCAAACCTGAAGCTTACTATTGAAGGTGAGGAGTTGAGAGATCCGACTATCTATCAGAGGTTGGTAGGTAGACTTATTCATCTAGCCAACACTAAGCCAGACATTTCATTCGCTGTCAGCCAAGTTAGTCAGTTTATGCACAGACCATGTCAGCCTCATATTGATGCAATATATCATATTCTTCGGTACCTTAAGTCTTGTCCTGGACTTGGATTGTTCTATGCATCAGGATCTCAGATTGGGTTCTCTAGCCTGTTATTCAAATTCAGATTATGGGGGAGCGTGTGACGGTCATCTACTACGGGCTTTTGTGCTTTTCGAGGGACTCATCTTATCTCTAGAAGAGTAAGAAGCAGTCAGTTGTCTCTCACTTATCAGCAGAGGCAGAGTATCGAGCACTAGCACCTGACACATGTGAGATTATCTGGCTACGATCGATTCTTGGCGAGTTGGGATTTTCAGTGACTTTTCATATACATTATATTGTGATAAAGTGATATGCTATTCAGCTCGTTTCTAACTTTGTATTACACTAGAGGACGAAGCATATAGAGATCGATGTTCACTTCCTTCGGGAGAAGGTTAGCAGTGGTATTGTCACTCCATCGTTCGTGGGGACTAGTGATCAGGTTGCGAATGTGTTTACAAAATCTGTCACTCTATCCATTTTTCGGAGCTCCGTTGTCAAGCTTGACTTAGTTGATATTTTTGCGCCTAGCTTGAAAGGAAGTATTGAAGATATAATAACCTAGTTTATTAGGGTTTATTTTGTTTTACCTTTTTTATCCTTATTGTAAACTTTCATTCGCTATATATACGTGACTCTACATTTAGTTTGTATACATTAAAAATCTCAATCTATCCCTTCAATGTTATGAATTGGTACCAATATGGATCTTGTTCAGACTATCGTTCAATTTTCTATCATAAATTAAAGCACGTGAGTTGCAACTATTTCGGGGCATGGACTTATTTATAAATTCATGAACTATTAGTGTCTCACGTGAATTAGACATGATAAACTTAGTCTCTACTAGCAATCCACGTAAATAGATTTGAATAATATTATTTTTATAAAAAAAATGGGTAATTAAATTAAATAATAAATTAGGTATTGAATAATTAATTTATATTTAATTATTACTAAATTTAATTATTAATTTATTATATAAGTTTTTCGATTCTGTTAGGCATTTGTACATCTAATTATATTATAGAATTATTAATTTTTACTTTTTAAATAGATTGATTAGATCGTTTATTATATTATTATATTATTACATACCAAAAAATAAAATATAACATATATTGAATTGTGAAATTTAACCTGGTGATTACATATGTATAATAATTTAATATATATAAGACAATACTTCTTCATATAGATATAGATAATTGTATGCAATTGTACTACTAATAAATGAGTTCAAAAGAATTTAGAAATAATTATAAAAGAGTTAAAAATAAGTTGAAAGTCAAATAGGTGTAAAAATAATAAATTAGATGAAACTATATAGGTGGATATAATAGACTTTATCATAATAATTAAGGATAAAATAATAAATCAAAAGTTTTTGACAGATGCTAATATTTATAAGTAGTATAGATTTGATTAAATAAACCTTATTTTTGATACATAAAATGATGCTAAATTGATCACATACAAAGATCTACATCAATGTACACACCTCATTCTCATGTCCGAAGTAGTTGCAACTCATATGCTTCAATTTATGACAAAAATTCAATTTATGACAAAAAACTGAACGACAATTTTAGTTAGGTCTATATTGTTACCAATTCATAACATTGAGGTACAAATTGAGATTTTTAATATTTGAATATACAAATTGATAATCGAAACATCTTTTGGGATGCAATATGAGATTAGCCCTTATTAGTATTGCACATTAATTTCACTTATTAATCATTGTGTTAAGTAATCGTTTATATTTATAATTTCATGTTGTGTTGGATGGATATCACCACCTTTACAAATACATTTTTGCAACATATAGGACAGTAATGTTAGGACAAAAAAAATTGGATAAATGTTGACGAAAACCTTAATTATCTAATTTACTTACCGAAAAAATACATTATAATTATATAAAAAGGCCGGCACAAAATTTGAAAAAAAAAAAAAAAAAAACCTACTTCCATTATATCTCATTCTTTGACATCTTTGCTCTGAAGTTATAAATACCATTTACAAAAGCATGTCACCATGTTTAGTCAAATATTTAACTCAGATTGATAATTATGTATCCTGCTTTTTTTTTTTTGGGGGGGGGGGGGGGGGGGGGGGGGGGGGGGCTGTTTACATTAATCACTATCCGGAAGAAGCTTGCTTGCTGATGAATAATCTCTGCTATCATCCATACTTTGGATAGAAATTGAGGAATCAATCCATGGCCCATCCATCGATGAGCTCCTCGGGACCTGACTATCCTGAGAGAACGTCGAGACGTGTGTTTGGCCGTCCTGTGATAACTTCTCGAAAGCTTTGAACCTCAAATTTTCATTGAAAGAACTGCGCTTGATTTGTGGCGGTTCGACCGGAATTTTGCCTTCAAGCATGCTCACCACGGAAGACATGGATGGCCTAAGAGTGGGAGACGGGTTGGTGCATAGAAGAGACAAGTTTAGCATCCTCATTACCTCTTCTTTGGAGAAGTTTGAATCAAGACTCGGATCCACAAGTTCTAAAAGATTTCCTTGCTCTTGCAGGACATAGGCCTTCAAGTCCATACAGGGGAACAGAAAGAAACACAGGAAAACTTTCTGTTATCTATATATTCGAATAGAGATATTGAAGAACATAAAAAAACACAATGCGAAGCATGCAGATGCAAAAAAATGACATTAGGATGAATAGCAACAAAAATATTGTAAAAAAACCGATGAGAGTGAATCATTTTATTCCACTTACTATTCTTTTGTATTGAAGAAAAACTGGTTTTTTTATTACAAAGTGAAACTTCATCAGAAGATCTGAACCTGTGGTCTCGGGGGCTTAAGCAAATTGCCTCTCAAAATATTGCATCCCCAGAGTTTGGTCTTTCATTTGAACTATTTAGATGAAAACTATTCATCCTCCAATTCATAATTCACAAAATACCATTCAATGTAAACAAAAAAAGTATATTTTAAGCGATGCATTATGGTTTGGCCATGATTTTTCAGAGCAGCATAGACAAAAAAAAGAATGGCAAGACCTTGTGAAATTCTCAAGAAAGTATATTACCCAATCAAGAAGGTAAACGAACTCCTCCTTCGGTCTGTAATTTGTATTACTTTTACCGCTTACAATCTCTAGTGCAACAACTCCAAAGCTGTAAACATCCGCTTTGTATGTCAAGTAACCTCTCATTGCATATTCAGGAGCCATATATCCTCTGGGAAAAAATATACATGAGAAATTACAGCAGTACTAGTATGCACCAGTAATGGGAACCATCACATATTAAAATAAGTTGCAATCGCTTGTTCAGTTTGAATGGTAGACAATCAGGACGAACCTCAAGAATTTTCAAATCTGATTAGTAGGTAGCGGTTGTGATTCATTCATTAGTTATTTTTCCAGAGGAGGCAAGTTGCACCCTAGAAATCTTTCTCATTTTCTCTTAATTAAGATCAACTGCTATATTTTTCCAGACTCGGATGGAATTTTCATATGTGAGAGATACAGTTCTTACTATTTCTTCTATGCTACAATATATATCAGCAATCAGTTTTACCTAACAACACTGATTACAATTGGAATGCGCATACAATTTCTTTGTCCACTGTTTCAAAGCCCATTTTAATTCACCACAAGTAGGATGAGTTAAACTTACTCCCACTTTTAATTTTCAAAGCCTTCAAGCAACATGTTTTAGGAGACCAATAATTTATAGCTGGTTATTCACAAAATGAGAAAAAACTGAAACAGAAAGTGAAATTAACTATGATGCCATCATTGGTATATCATGCATTGCAGTCTCCTTTTTATTTTGGTAAAGTCGACGATGCCACATTACCAGCACATAATCGCATGATACATAAACTGTTCTGGGATTGTATAGGCTCTGAAAAGTTTGTGATACAGTGGACACAATTAACCATGTTCTGCATCACTCGTTTTCTACTGTATATTACAAATTATTTAAATCTGAAACTGAATATGCTTCTGATTTCAAAAATAATGTTAAGTTGTTACTATTATATGCAGACAGGTTATAAGGAGGGATGCACATCGAAGAAGGGAAAAGGAAAAGCTCACATTGTTCCAGCAATTCGTGTGCTGATATGGGTATTCTCTTCTTCATCAAGCTTAGCCAAACCAAAATCTGATATCTTAGCATTTAGATCTTTATCAAGCAGTACATTGGTACCCTTGATGTCTCGATGAACAATCTTCAATCTTGATTCCTCATGAAGGTATGCCAAGCCTCTTGCTATTCCTATGCATATCTTCTTTCTTGTTGGCCAGTCTAGATTTAGCCGCTGTTCTTCATGACCTATAAATTAAAGATCAGAAGAGATAGAGACAAACCATAAATCAATGTTTAAAGGGATAAAGTGGAACAAAAAAGTAACACTTACCAAAAAGTGCACGAGCAAGACAATTGTTTTCCAAGTACTCATATATTAGCAACAATTGGTTCCCTTCAATACAACACCCGTAAAGCCTCACAAGATTTGGATGCTGCAAAGCAGAAATCATGCCTATCTCATTCACAAACTCGCGGTTTCCTTGCTTAGATTTGGAGGAGAGCTGCTTAACAGCAATTACCGCACCATCTGGTAGTACACCCTATGAGAAGAAGAACAAATTTCATAATGCTTATTTTCTGGGAAAAGAATCATAGACAATTAAATGACTGCGTGCAAATATTATCTTTTTGAGCACCATTTTCACATGGATACCCAAGCAGAGAAATGGTCCTAACGCTGAAAGTAACAGTGTTAACAGGTTGAGCATCTAAGGTGAAAGTAACATGTTGCATCTGCAAGTTACTACCTTGTAAACAGGCCCGAACCCTCCTTCACCAATCTTATTTGCATGGTCGAAGTTATTAGTGGCAGCCTTGATCTGTCTTAGAGTAAAATAACCTGTTTGTAACTCTAGCCCTCGAAGCTCTGTAACAAGGAAAGTGATTAGAAACTGCTCAAAATTCACTGAAATTAAATACTGCTCGTACAATATTAACCGAGTAATTCTCTTTTTCACCATTCAAAAGATTTATAAACCATAATATGACCCATTTCAGACCACAGGATACAGCTTTCCATTCTAGTCTGCAGACTTATTCTTAGGGTATCAGCTGGTCAAGTGAATATACTTAATTTATCATCACTGATTATACAGGTGGGAATGGATACCAGGCATATTTTTGTCATGCAAATGAAACATCCAGTTGTGGCAACATTTATCTCATTGCTAATCAATATTATCCTTAGTTTGATAATTAAGCATTCCAGCTAGAATAATTTTGAGAAGCTGACCATCGTCTCTGCAGCTCACCCCTCTCTTCCTTCTCTCTCAAGATAATGTGCTTATAAGTGCCTGCACGGACAAACTATGTTCCCTTTCCTAGATAAATGTATTAATATCATACCTTCTAGCAGCTCAAGTATCTGAGCCCTTTCAAAATTAGTGGCCACACCACGCAAAAGTAGCAACAAAATGAACTACAGAGACACAATTTCTTCGTAGAATACTTTACCTTCATCTACAATGTCTTTCCCTCCTAGGTACCCTTTCTTTCGGAGTACAGCTAAAATCAACAAGAGGAGCACACATGAAGCAATCACTATGCCAATAATAGCTCCAACAGAAAGAAGCCCTGTATCAGGATCAAAATCTACAAGAAGAGATAGATATACTCTCATGACAAGGCCAAATTTGGAAAATCTAAGCACCCAAAATACAAGATATACTGACTTGGTGTTACTGTGATAGCTGATATAAGAGGTCCATATACACCTCTGTCAGGAATAGCTGTTGTTCCCTTCCCTGCCCAGTACAAATGGATCTCCAGAGTGCTCCCATTGACAAAAGTATCATTAAACTCCTTGGTTATGCCCTTCCCAAAGCCACTAGCTTCTTCCGCAATGTTGAAGTCCTTCAAAACTACACTCCCCTACGTCCAATTGTATAGACAACATATTTGGACCAAGTGCCAGTATTAATAACTCTTAGTGCATCTCCAATGGAGACCCAAATTTGAGTAAAAAAAAAAAGGTAAAAAAATTGATTTGGTATACACCTCTTCAATGGAAAACCCTTTTTTAAAGGAAGAGAAACCTAAATTTAAATGAGAACAAACCCAAATTTAAAAAAGGGTAAAATATGGCTATTGAAATCTCACCATTAAATATTTAAATTTAAAAATGGGTCTCTCTTGATTTGGGCTTAAAAAAAGATTTCCCTTCATTTAATATGGGTATGAGTCTAGTATTGAAGAAGGTTTTTAAAAGTTTTCACCCATTTAATATGGATATGAGTCTAGTATTGAAGAAGGTTTTTAAAAGTTTTTACCCCTTTTTAAAAAAAAGTTTAAAAAAGGGTAATGATTGAAAATAGTCTTACTAAGGCTGGAGAATAAGAAAAAGTAAAGAAAGAAAGTTTTCAAGAGACTAACTTTCTAATGATGCTAAGGTCATCAAAAATCTATAGTCCATAATTGGGCTTCTACTTACTTGGATTGATACATCAAAAATGCGTCTCCCAAGGCTGCTGAACGTGCTGTCATCTGAATACATTACTTCAGCAAAGTGGAGTTGCACTCTGTAACTACCCTTCCGCAAGCAGAGGCCATAGTACTTAAGTGAACTAGGGGCAAGGCGGGCTGTTTTATAAAAGTCTGCACCAGTCACATTCAATGCAAAAGGATTTGATGCAATGTAATTAGCATTGTCGTTCCCCATGAAGACCCCTGAGCTGCTGAAAGCCCATTTTTCTGAAGAAGCAAAAAAGTATGATGGGCCTCTTGTGGTTAAGTCCTCTTCATATTCATTACCCTCAAAGTTCATTGTGCTTCCCCCACAATTTATGAACAATGAATGATCTGCAAAAGTAATGGGAATCATGAGGTAGGATGCTTTCATAAAGCTCCATAGGTTGGATCAAATTGGAAAGTGCAGCAAGATAGCAGCAAAGTCGCATAGGTTGTTTCACTTACGCTGGGGTTTCGTGGAGCAAGAGAGGTCCTTCCGCAAGCACCATGCAACTCTAAGTAAGTTTTAGGCCACGTCAAATAATGGACGGATTTTTTAAAAATTAATAAGAGTTTAGGTATGTGAGGAACTTACGAGTTGCTCACTGTAGATGAATGACTGGAAACTAAATTCCTGTCAGATAGAAAAGGATTTCTAAGAGATATGACCATCCAATCAATACATAATCACATAATGGTAAGATGCTTACACGCTAGAGGGCTGGCAACCCACTGAAGGTGACTGTGTAAAATTGTTGTAAGATACATCACTGCAGTAAATATTCACATGACATTTGTAATCAATTTCCCAACTGAAAATTAGATCATAATTGCTTGACCTGATGAAATTTCATTAGAGATCACAAGAAGAAAAAGTGTGATGGTTTTTCTTAAGCTTTTCTGCCAGACAATAACTACCAAAACTTGGAGAAGACTAACATGTACACGTTGCTGTTCAATATCCAACTGGGTACCTCTCCAGTTAGTGAGTTATTAGACAAAAACCTACACAACAAACAATAATGTGACTTGCTATTGCTTAGAACTGTAAACTATAATGGAAAAAAAACAGCCCGAGATTGGAAAGTAATTACGAAAATCATAAGGCATTTTCATATGCTTAGATATACAGTTTATTCTAACTATACGTACAAGTGATCTAGATTTAAACTTTGAAATGTATCTGGGATTCGACCAGTCAACCTGTTGAAGCTCAGGTCTCTGCAAATAAAAATATATGAACCATGAACAAATAAGATCACCTAATTACATAAGAATACTCATTATAATTAACTTACAAAGTTTTTAGTCTAGTCATTTCTCCTATGTATACTGGTAGTGGTCCAACAATTAGGCAATTTCTGAGTATCCTGCGCCACAAAAATAAACCACTTGGTATGTCAATAGAGTCAGAGTTAAACCCAATCTTCATGGTACATAAAACATATAACTATATCCCTCAATTTTTTCATGGAACCAATAGAATCGAACCATAACTCACAGTCTTTGCATGTTTTTCATGTACTGCAATTCAGGAAAAGGCATGTTTGATCCACTCAAATCAGATACCCTCCTGATAACCAAAATGCATCAGAAGAGAACGTTATTTTTCCAGATTCTCAAATCAGTAAGCATTCATAAATCAACAATCTTCTTTTTTTCGGTCGAGGAAACTAGTAAGCAGAAATAGAGTAATGCTACAGTCTGTGGGTGCTCACAACTGAGATAAATTTGTCAACTGGGATATCGTAGAAGGAATGGGTCCCTCCATTGATGTGCCTTGCAGATCCCTGGAAAAAATTTGACAAAAAAAGTATGTTATGTTAGAGTATTTATAGTATGGGTAGATTAGGTATTTTACATTCTTTTGTTGCCCTAATATATAAGGGCCTACATTGTGTATTTGTGTAAAGATTGATTTACTGAATGGATTACTCTAAACATTATTCTTGACCTCTCTCTCTCTTTTCTTCCCTTTATCAATGTTAACATGGTATTAGAGCATTGTTCGATTCTACATACTTAAAATTTTTGAAGAACAGAGAATCAGATTTTTTGAAGAACACAGTATTTGAGGAAGCCGATTTTCTGAAAAAGGGCTGACGTCTGCAGACTGCAGTCGAGGAGAGCACTGCTAGACTCGATTTTTCATGGGCATTTCAATGGTATGATTTGTTTTTGATTTTGAAGTCATTTGGATGGAGTTTTCTATTTTTGAATATTTTAGCGAAAATAGGGAGTTTTTTTCAAATATGAAGATTTGAGGTTTTTTTCTTGCAATTGGAGGCTTTGATCCTTCACAGATAGCTCCGATTAGATGAATAGAGGGTTGGTTTGACATACCAACCTTCTTGGAGTGCTATTGATGCATTTTTGGTGATTTTTTGGCCGACGGGTACTGTTCCGATGGTCTTCCAGCGATAAATCTGGAAGTTTTCGATCTTCTTTGGTGTGTTTTTACTCCTCTTTGGTGCTGGTTTGTTGATTTTGTGCATTTGCTATGTCTGGCTATTCATAGTGCACCGACTGTTTGTTCACGATGGTCTCTTCGATTTTGTTCTTCTTGGCTTCACAGTGCATTGACTATTTTGTGATTGCTGTTTTGTGGTTAAATTTGGGAAGTGGTAGTTTATTGATTTGCTGGGTTGTTAGATTTTTGCTGCCAATTTAGTTTTATTAACATTATGGCAAGTGGACATTCTAACTCTCTTCAAGCTATTAGTATCAGACTGAATGGTGAAAATTATGGATATTGGTTTTATGTTTATGAAAATTTTTTTGTTGGGGAAAGAGATGTGGAGTTTTGTTAGTGGTGCTTTGCAAGCACCAACAGATTCGAAGGCAAAGAAATATGCTGATTTATAGAATACTTGGGAAGTCAACAATACTAAAATCATCACTTAGATTAACAACTCAGTTGATCAGACCATTAGTGTGCATTTGGCTGTTTAACATAACCAAAGAGACTTGAAATTATTTAGCTACATTGTTTGTTCAGTTCAATTTTGCAAAGAGATATCAGCTTGAGCATGAAATTCGAGCTGCACGTCAGGGTGATAAAACCATACAGGAGTTCTATTCAATTATGACTGGATTTTGGGATCAGTTAGCACTTGCTGAGCCTGTTGAATTAAGTACTCATATGGTATATTGTACCTTTAGGAAGAAGCAGTGGTTGGTATAGTTTTTGATGGCCCTTAGAGATGACTTTGAGAGCCTTCGTGGTTCTATTTTCCATCGTCTCCCACTTCCCACAGTTGATGCAATAGTGCATGAACTTTTGGGTGAAGAAGTTCGTCTTAAGATTCTTTCTGGAAAGGGTCTTCTTTCATTGCCTAATCAAACTGTATTGGTTGTACCACCCAGAGGGACTTCTCACTTACAGACTAAATATCGAGGTCAAGCTGCTTCAGATGAGTGTAGTTTTTGCCGTGAGAAGGGTCACTGGAAGGCTCAATGTCTTAAATTGGTGAACAGGAATGCCAAGGGGGCCTTACAGTAGCCATTTAAGCCCAAAGTTTGTCATACAACCGCAGCTGCTTCACCAGTGGATGAGACACTTCCATCAGTTGCAGAAGCTTCTTTCTCTTTATGCCCTATTAGTTTCACCTTCCACAGGTTCATTTACTACAGATCCTTCAGGTATATCTCAAACTGCCTGAGTCTTTGACTCAGGCGCCACCCATTATATGACTAGTAATTCTTCTTTATTTATTTCTATTGTTTCCCCTCCCTCTATATCTGTCTTTGCAGCCAATGGCATCCAAATGCCTTTAGCTGGTGTTGGAACTATCGTATCTTCCCAGCTTACACTTTCTGATGTCTACTATATTCTTTAACTCATAGTTGTTAGTATCGTACGATACGCAATACGTATCGTACGATACGTTACGATACAGCCCTAAAACGATACGGATCGTAGTTATGTATCGTTTTTGCGTTGTATCGTCCGATACACGATACGTTTTTACGATACGATACGTATCGGTACGAAACGCACGATACGTGCAATTTTTTTTTTTATAAACGACGTCGTTTTGTGCTCTAATTTTTTTTTTTTAATCCCTATAACCACTGAAACGACGTCGTTTCAGTGGTTAGGGTTACAAAAAAAAAATCCCTCATTTCTCACATATTTGCCCTTCGCTAGTCAGACTGTCTCTGGTTTCTCTTCAGCCATCGACGACGAGTGGCGATCGCTATGGGTGGTGATCGCTATGGGTGGTGATCGACTGTGGGTGGTGATCGATTGTGGGTAGTGATCGACTGTGGGTGGTGATCGACTGTGGGTGGCGATCGCTATGGGTGGTGATCGCTGTGGGTAGTGATCGACTGTGGGTGGTGATCGACTATGGGTGGCAATCGCTATGGGTGGTGATCGCTGTGGGTAGTGATCGACTGTGGGTGATGATCGACTGTGGGTGGTGAACGTTGTAGGTGGTGATCGCTGTGGGTGGTCTTCGACTGTGTGGGTGGTCTTCGACTGTGTGGATGGTCTTCGACTGTGGGTGGTCTTCGACTCTGGGTGGTGATCGATTGTGGGTGGTCTCCAACTGTGGGTGATTGCTGGTCTTCGTCTGTGGGTGATTGCTTGTCTCCGACTGTGGGTGTTGATCGCTGCCTTCTTCCTTCTCCAGGTACTCCTTCTTTTTCTTCTTCTTCTTCTTCTTCCCAGTCTCCATTGATCGTTGGTCCTGTGCAGTATGTAATGATATTAATTTATTTACAAAGCCAAATGTATATAAATTTTTTTGTATAAAAATTTCTGAATCTTGATTAATTTTAATTTTGTGCAACAGTGGCATCACCTGCATCCAATTTTCATATAGAAATGACTAAAAAACTTGCTAATGATCCCACATGGGAACATTGTGACAAAGTAGAAGGATCAAGGTTGAAATTGAAATGCATTCATTGTGCAAATGTCTATTGGGGAGGCATTTCAAGAATGAATAATCATTTGGCAAGTAATCGCAAAGATGTAGCAGCGTGTAAGCATTGCCCTGAGGAAGTAACTGAATTTTTTAAGCAATTATTGGATGATAGGGCAATTAGCAAAGATATGAGTCTTGTGGATTCGAAAAGTAGTGGCAGTGTGGGTAGTACTACTGCTGATAAAATACAGCCAACCACCACAATTACTTTGAATACTATGTTAAAGAAAAAGGGTAGGGAAGATGTATGCTTGGATATTTGTAGATGTTTTTATGCTAATGCCCTTCCTTTTAATTTGGTAAAGGATCCATATTTTGTAAGAATGTTAGAATCTGTTGCATCGTTTGGTAAGGGATTGAAACCTCCATCGTATCATGAGGTGAGATGTTCTTTTTTGAAAAAAGAAATAAATTTGATTAATGGTGGGTTGATGAAAAATTATAAAGCAGAGTGGAGAAGGACGGGTTGTACTCTTATGTCTGATGGATGGACTGATGGGAAACATCGCTCTATCACTAATTTTTTAGTGAATAGTCCTAGAGGAAGTGTGTTTCTTAAAAGTATTGATACTTCAGGTATTTGTAAGAATGCGGATAATCTTTTTGAGCTTTTAGATTCAATGGTAGAAGAGATTGGTGAGGATAATGTTGTTCAGGTTGTAACTGATAGTGCATCGGCTTATGTAAAAGCTGGGGAGTTATTAATGGCAAAGAGGAAAAAGTTGTTTTGGTCTCCTTGCGGTGCACATTGTCTAGAGCTCATTTTGACGGATATTGGGGACCTTCATCTGCACAAGGATATAATGTCAAAGGCAAGGAAAATCACAGTTTACATTTATAGACATTCTTGGGTGTTAAATCTTATGAGAAAGTATACAAAGAAAAGGGATTTGGTGAGAGCTTGTGTGACCAGATTTGCCACCTCATATTTAACTTTAAGGAGTTTATTTGAAAATAAAATTGGGCTTAGAGCAATGTTTGCTTCTGAGGAATGGCAGAGAAGTCAATATTGTAAGAAGGGAGATGGTGTAAAAGTGATGGATATTATACTAGCTGACCAAAATTTTTGGGGATCAATCAAGTATTGCTTGAAGTGTGTGTTGCCATTGGTGAAGGTGTTGAGGCTTGTAGATGGGGATCTAAAGCCTGCCATGGGGTATATTTATGAGGCAATGGACAAGGCAAAGGAACAAATCCAAAAGAATTTTCGTAATGTGAAGAAGCACTATGAGCCCATATGGACTATTGTTGACACTAGATGGAACATGCAATTACACAGACCTCTTCATGCAGCTGCCTATTATCTCAATCCCGCGTAAGACTTAATTTTCTCAATTTTTATATCATTTTATATCTATATATTGTATGCTGATCAATGATCATTGTAAATCAAAATAATTATTTCAGGTTTCATTACACCGGTAGTGCGGACTATGAGATAAAGATGGGACTATATCAGACTATTCAGAGAATGTGCCCAAGTCCTATTATGAGAGAAAAAGTTGATAAACAATTAGATATCTTTCATAATGCTGATTTGATGTTTGGAATGGACATGACAATCCAAATGAGGAAGAAGAAACAACCTGGTTAGTGGTAACTTAACTTAAGTTAGTTATTTGAATGCAACTGCTTAAGTTAGTTAATGGAGTATTCTATTGTAATTTTTTATAGCCTTGTGGTGGGAATCATTTGGAGGATGTTGTCCAGAGTTGAAACAACTTGCTATCCGCGTCCTTAGCTTGACTTGTAGTGCCACTGGATGTGAGAGGAATTGGAGTACATTTGAGCAGGTGCACTCTAAGAGGAGAAATTGATTAGAGCAACAAAGATTTAGTGCACTTGTGTTTGTGAAGTACAATCTTCGATTGGAGGCAAGACACCAAAAGAGAATACTAGAGGGTGATTCCTATGATCCTATTTCTCTCTCAGATATGGAATCTGATGATGAGTGGATCACTGAAAAAGAAGATGCACTCCTTCCTGAGGACACTACTTGGATGAATGTTAGTGAATGTTTTGCATGTCAAGAAGGGACTAGCAAAAAGAGAAAGAGAGGTAATTAAAATGTAGTGGTTGTTTTTTCTCTTCTCCATTACTTTGAATTTTATTTTTTTTATATTTTGTATTGGTTGCTTTGTAGGGCCTAGAAATCTTACTTTATACAAGAAAAAAGGATAGCAAATAGTTCAACTTGAAGATGAGGATGAGGATGAACAAATACAAGAAGTTGAAGATGATAAAGGAAGTGAAGACTTGTTGGCATCCGATCACAATGATGATAATGATGATGATGCATTTTCAATTGAAATTGAAGATTGAGTTCAAAATGGATGTTAGAAATTTGGATTAAAAGTCTCTTTGGTGTTTAAAGTTTGAATTAGTGAACTATGGTTGTGAACTTTGCATTATAATAGTAGTGGATTATGTTGATAACTTGAATAGTTGGTGGAGTATTAATGAAATGCTATATTTTTTATGAGTGTATGACTTTTTTTCAAAGGTATATATATTTTTTTATTATTTATTTAAAATTGCATCGTATCTTACGATACATGATACGATACACGATACGATACAATATTTGTATCTTACGATACGCCTTCCGATACACGATTTGATAACTATGTTTTAACTTACTTTAAATCTAATATCTATTAGTCAGTTATTTGATTCGGGATTTTTAGTTCACTTTTCTTCTACTAGTTGTGTTGTGCAGGATCCACGGTCGAAGAAGCTAATTGGGACAGGCAATAGAAATGGAGGGCTATATATGTTGGATGAACTTCATTTTCCTGAAGTTGTTGCATCTACTGTTGATTTATCTTCTTTTCAATTGAGTCTAAAGTCGTCTAGTTTTTATTTATGGCATTCTCGTTTAGGTCATGTTTCTCATTCTCGTTTAAAATTTCTAGCTTCTACTGTTAGTTTGGGTAGTTTAGAGTGCCATAATATTTCAGACTGTAGTGGTTGTAAGTTGGCAAAATTTACTGCATTACCTTTCAATAAAAGTAATTCTCATTCTCTTGCACCTTTTGATCTTGTACATTATGATATTTGGGGACCAGCTCCTATTGTTACTAAAGGGGGTTCTAGATATTATGTTTCTTTTATTGATGATCATACCAGGTATTGTTAGGTGTATCTAATGACACGTAGGTCCGAGTTCTTTTCCATTTTCACTACCTTTTGTATTATAGTGCGTATCCAATATTCTTCTATCATCAAATACTTTCACTGTGATCAAGGTGGAGAATATTCTTTTAGTGCTTTTCATGATTTGTTGAAATCTAATGGTACTGTTTTTCAATCTTCTTGTATTGACACACCTGCTCAGAATGGAGTGACCGAACAGAAACATCGTCACATTATTGAGACAGCTCGTTCTCTATTGTTGTCATCTAATGTCCCTAGCTTTTTTTGGGGAGAAACAGTTCTTACAGCAATTCATCTGATTAATTACATTCCTACAATCCTTAATTATGGTATCTCACCTTTGAAAAATTATGGGGTAAGACACTTGACTATTTCTCCTTACGTGTGTTTAGATGTACATGTTTTGTTCTGCCACCTAGTGTTAATCGCACCAAACTCTCGGCTCGTTCAGCCTTATGTGTTTTTCTTGGCTACGATGAGAGACAAAAGGAATTTCAGTCTTATGATCCTAATACACAAAAACTCTATGTTTCTCGCCATATTATTTTTATGGAGCATATTCTTTTTTTCTCTATTCCATCTAGTTCTTCATCTCTGCTTAAATATGATCTTATCTCTCTTGATCCCTTTCCCTCTAATATTTCTCCTGATTCCTATGTTGGTGATATGACTATGGCTGATCTTCCCTCCTATTCTTCTTCCTCTTTGCCTGATTTGTTTGTTATCCGTCCCCCGATTGTGCATACTTATATTCACAGTACTCCCACTATCTCCTCTACAGATGTTGTGCCTTCATCTGTACCTCTTGGCTCCCAATCAATTTCTGACATCGTGGATCACACTTCTCGTTACTTTCAGCGCACTTGAAAATGTCCTGACAGGTTTGGTTGGTCCAACTCTTGTTACTCTTATGATTTTTGTTCTTTCCTGACTTCTATACATTCTCTGTCTGAACCAACCTCCTATAAGGAGGTTATCCTTGATCCTCTTTGGCAACAGGTTATGGATGAGAAGTTTTTTGCGCTTCATAAGACTCAAGCTTGGGAGTTGGTGCCTTTACCTCTTGGTAAACGCCCCATTGGTTATAAATGGGTTTATAAAATCAAAACTCAATCTGATGGTTTTGTGTAAAGGTACAAGGCTAGATTAGTGGTCAAGGAATTTGCTCAAGAGTATGGGCTTGACTACGATGAGACCTTTGCTCCAGTGGCTAAGATGACCACGATTCGCACAGTGATTGCTGTTGCAGCTGTTCGTCAGTGGAGTCTTTCTCAGATGGATGTGAAAAACGTTTTTCTTCATGGTAATTTATCTGAGGAGGTCTATATGACTCTTCCTCCTGGGTTGCCTTGCAGTCCTGGTCATGTGTGCAAACTTCACAAGGCTTTATATGGTCTTAAACAGGGCCTGACAGCATGGTTTGCAAAATTTTCTTCAGTTATATGTGACTTAGGTTTCTGTGCTAGTGATCATGATTCTACACTCTTCTTTCGATCCACTTCTTTTGGTTTCATTCTTTTATTACTTTATGTGGATGACATAATTATTAAAGGTGATGACAATGCTAGAATTCAGCTGTTGAAAACTCAATTACAGAATTATTTTGAGATGAAAGATTTAGGTCCACTCCGATATTTCTTAGGAATTGAGGTTCCTCTCCCAAGGGTTATTTTCTTTCTCAGTCAAAATATGTCTAAAATGTTATTCAACGAGCTTGCTTATCGGATACTCGAACTGTTGACACACCCTTGGAGCTTAATGTTCGTTATACTTCCTTTGATGGTTCTCTCCTGCCAGATCCTCCCCTATATCGTACTATTGTTGGGAGTTTGGTGTATCTTACTGTTACTCGTCCAGATATTGCTTATACGGTTCATGTGGTTAGTCAGTTTGTTGTTGCTCTTACCACACTCCACTGATCTGTTGTTCTTCAGATTCTTCGATATCTACAAGGTACGTTAAATCGGAGTTTATTATTTTCTTCTTCGTCTCTGGAGCTCCGTGCTTACTCTAATGTGGACTGAGCTGGCGACTCTATGGATCGCAAATCTACCACTGATTTTTGTCTCTTTCTTGGTGATTCACTTATTTCCTGGAAAAGCAAGAAACAAACTGTTATAGCTCGCTCTTCTGCTGAAGCTGAGTATCGTGCTATGACATCTACCACAGCAGAGATAGTTTAGTTGCATTGGTTGCTTGCTGATCTTGGCATTTCCTTGACAACTCCTACTCCAATGTATTGTGATAACACCAGTACTATCCAGATTGCTCACAACTCGGTGTTTCATGAGCGTACTAAACATATAGAGATTGACTGTCACTTTGTGCGCCATCATCTTTAGTTGGGCACGATCTCTCTCCCATATCTTACTTTTACTATTCAGTTGACAGATTTCTTCACCAAATCCCACACTATCGCATGCTTTTGTTTTCTCCTTGACAAACTCTTGATGGTTGATGCTACCACATCATGAGTTTGAGGGGGGATGTTAGAGTATTTATATTATGGGTAGTTTAGGTATTTTACATTCTTTTGTTGCCCTAATATATAAGGGCCTACATTGTGTATTTGTGTAAAGATTGATTTACTGAATGGATTACTCTAAACATTATTCTTGACCTCTCTCTCTCTTTTCTTCCCTTTATCAATGTTAATATGGTCAAGATGCCATTAGGTAACAATAAGTTGCATAAGGAATTTCAAAACTCTAAAAAAATGTTCATGTGACTAATGGATGCAGAAATACTCACAGTCTATTAATTCTTGTCCAGTTCCCTATAAAATCAGGTATCTTCCCGGTTAATGTGCTCCCGTCTATCCTACTGCAAGCAGTAAGCAGATTTTAGAGCTATTCAAAACTTGAATATGGTACATGTTTTGTAACTATCACTTACAAATCTTCTAAATTCTTTAGGTTGACGAATGTTTCTGGTATCGTTCCTGTGAAATTGTTTGCAGAAAGAAGGCTGCAGAAAAATGACAGTTGTGAATGACCTCAAATTATAATGCGAAAAAAGGAAAGTACATATATGCCTCAAATACAGAAGGCAATGTTCAACTGAGGTATGACCTTTTTAGCACAAGCTTAAATGAAAAACAACCACACAATTAAATAGAGGGCAAAAATCTGCAACCAACCACAACTTTTGTTTTCATTCCTTTTGGATTATATCACATGCTATTGCTCTATTGAAGGCCATATTTCATATGTTTAGTGTCTTCAATTTTGAATCCTCTTTTTCCCTCTACCACCTAAAAATAAGGAGAATATCTTGCTAAATGAAGGAAGATGGAACCGCTAATATAGAATAGCTAAATGATGAAGATAAAGAAGCACACACATAATGTGCTCTGCCCTACTATTATTTTTTTAAGCACCAATTCTCTAGTATATGATAATACTGACTTAAAATGGCAGCAGCAGCAGTGGGAAACAAAAAGACCCACAGGAAAACAAAAAGTCAATTGCATCTTTTATATTTGGGAAGAAGGTTTAGTATGCAAAACATAGTGAGGCTAGGTGATTAACTATCAAAAATTTACATCGATAGAACTTAATTATCAACCGACTGCTTTACCAACAAATGGATGACTTCATGACCTCAGTCCAGACTATGAAATATTCCACACCCATGCAGATCCTTGATTAATATGTAGTTAAACAACATTGAGCTGAAAAGTAAATGGACTTTACCAAATAAGCATACCAGTGGTTACCAACATGCATTATAATTAAGCAGATAGTTCCAGAACAAGAAAGGCATAATTAATTAAGAATACAAAACTAGACTGAGTAATCTTACAGTCTCTTCAAGCGGCTCAAACTTCCAAGGTTTCGATGAAGAGATCCTCCAAGCTGATTATCTTCCAAGACACTGAATAATACAGGGTGCAATGTAAAAATTATAGGTTTCACTCATTGCTCCAACAAATACACATATCCCTTTACTTACAGCTGCTCAAGTGTGGAAATATCACCTATTTCCTTGGGAATCGAACCACCAATGCGATTTCCCAGAAGGGACCTGCAGTAAGCCAACATCTTAAGTGTATCCAACCAGTATAAAAACCTAAATCATAAAGGCCCTCACATACCTAAAACTACCTAAAACCTAAAAGAAGAGAAACTTACAGAATTGTGAGATTAAGCTGGCCTAAATTCGTGGGTATCGATCCACTAATGTAGTTGCGGGAAAGCTCTCTGTGTAAAAGAAGTCTGACTTAATCTTCTAGTTCAAATGGTCATCATTGAATAAAATGCATTCTTTCAAAGTGATACTGCACATCAACTATCTATTCCCACTTCATTACACTTTGTCAGAATGATTGAAACTTTTTATTTTTAAAAAAATATTCTGATAAGTAAATCGTGATCAGAATCATCAGATAAATGAAAACTTAATACATGAATGGGTCTCCAGGATAATTAAATGTCTCGTAGACAATTGCAATCCTATTCTGCCCTTGGTAGACTCAGGTTGGTGATTGAAAAAATCACAAGCGTCATCACAAAAATTCCAAAATGCCCTCAAGTCCAATGGTTGACTCAGGTTGGTGATTGAAAAAGTCATGAGCATCATCAAAAGAATTCCAAAATGCCCTTTTCCAATGTAACCAAATAGACTACATTTTGGCCTGCTGAAGAAGATAGTCCACTTTATTTTCAAATCCATAACTATATTTTGAGCCTTGTTTCCAATTGGATACATGTGGTAAACCAACTGCATACGAAATGCCACTTACATTTCTTGCAGATAACTAAGATTTGAGAATTCTGCTGGTAGAACTCCTGTCAAATTAAGACCCTTTAGCTGGCTGTAAAGTCACGCAAAACAAAAACAAAAAGAATGGAGTAACATTAATAATGGGATATAGAAATGACAGTCTCAGAAGAATACCTAGAATATTATGTGAACCCCAAACGTGTGCCCAAAAAATGTATGTCCGGGGAAAACATTTCACTTCATTTGGGAAAGTAGGTGTCTGCTATAAACTTAAGGTAAAAGAGTCTTTAAAGAAGTTCAAGAACATTTAAACAATTCTTCCAAGACTCCATAAAAATGGCAGTTGGCTTCATAACTGTGTCAAAGGGATACAGGATATTGAACTTTCAACAAGCTTTCAAATTTTGGAACTGGATAGTAGTATTACAAGGCCTAAGTATTGATTGCCAATTGGCCATGTTTACCTCATTTGTCACAATGATACACACTATTACTCGCAGTCAAGTGTATAGGGATTAATATTACAACGGAAATGCTAGTATGCAACAAACTGAATTTTGTAGAAGCAAGACAAATGGAGGTAACGATTTACCATAGTCCTCAGGCGTAGCAGTTCTATGTCCTATAGAAGTTCACACAGCATCATTTGAACAGATTTAATACTTAGATAATGCAATTTGCATCCCACCTTTAAAAGTTAGACTCCACACTATGAGTCAAGTGTTAATTCAAGCAGAAATAACTAAGCACCAAGGGAACTATCCTGAAACAAAAGGTATTTTAGAACTGAAACATCTGAGCGCCAGAAAATCTAATAGAGCCTTGGCATCAAATGTGTGACGAGACCAGTTTTCTATCTATGCATCAAAGAATAGTTAGATGATGACATTGAAGTTCTCCTCATTCCCATTTCTATCCTTATTTAAGTTGATAGATCTTTCTTAACAAAAAAGAAGTAGACAAGTTCAAACCACTTAATCATCTCTTTCGTTGACAAATCTGTAACATGAGATCTATCTAGAGCTTGGTCCTGCATCAGTGTGCTTGTGCAACAAGTTCAACCATGTTGGAATATTTATCCTCATAATCGATGCTGATATACCCAAGACACCCTATACTAACAAGAGTCAATTCCATTGAAAACAATCCTGCTATTGTTTTGAAGAAAAATTGATCAGAAGCGAAGAAGTCAATGAAAGCTCATTCTGGAGACAGTATAGCTTACGTCCCCTTCTCTTTTTTACTCCAACAAGGGAGTCTTAATAAACATCTATAGGTAAAGATATCTGGCAAGTGTCAAATGCTAGTGCAAGAAACTTAGAAGAGCTTGATTATTAAAATATCTAATGCCAAAATTAGCTGCACTTGAATATCTTCTCCATTCCACTGGCATCTGATAAACACTTCTTGACTTTTATAAATCCCCAAATTACTTTCTCATTCTTTGCTTGATGCTTTCGATTTGCATACGTACATAATGGGAAAGGATGTAGGATAGAAAAAAGAGGACATACATGTTTGTGACATGGCAAACAGTACCGCCACTAAACGAGCAATTGCAAGTCACATTGCTAAAAAATTCATCAGTAAAGGTCACATTCAGATCTCCACCCCCACTGCAAGAACTTCGGCGAACACTCCAATATCTGTTCTGTAGCTTTGAGGATATTGTTTCAAGAGCTTGTACTGTGACGCAGAGGGTAGGTGGAAATTGGTTAGCATAGTAAATAAAAATTGATTAAGAATACCAGGAACAACCATCTCATCAATTCTTTTTTGGTGCACCCGTCTCATCCATTTTAATCTCTAAGATACATCTATCATTATTTGTGAAAACTTTCAACTGATGGCATTGTCAAGTCATTAATTTATTTATTTCTTGGCCAATGTCAGGATAGCAACCAATATCACATATATGACCCAAAACTCTCAGATAAACAAAAATAGATGGCACAAGGTATAACCCTACTGCTAAGTAATGACATAATATCACTTTCTTAATGTAGAGCAACACAACCAGTTTAGTATAAAAGATTGGGAGCTGCCTTGAGCCCACGGTAAAATGAAGAAAGTGAAGAGTTTTGCTTTCTCATCCTTCAATTGAATGCCTCGTGTGCCCCAACCCAATATGATGGTTATGTATCAGTTGACCAAAAATGATGATACCTGCCATTTGATTTTACCCATTTAATCTTAGAATAGTCAAACACATACATTTGGTATGACTTGCAGGCGTCTCATTTTCAATGCAGTCAATTTGAACTACAATAAATTCCTTTCAGCATGTCAAAGGCAATAGATGTTAGTTGATCATTCCACCACAAAATGACAGTAATGGTGATATCCTGCAAGCTAATCCACCACATAATGACAGTAATGGTGATATCCAGCAAGCTCATACGACCCGACCATGCTTAGACAGTATCTATTGCAATTACAGTGACAGATTGAGAAGGCCTATGATGAAAGGATCCACTGATGCTGGTTGATCATGTTTGCATATAGCAATTCAACAGCAAGATGGAACCTTCATCCAATATACCTAAAATGGTGCCTACATGATAAAACCACTGCACCTGAACAATATAAACCAAAAATAAATATAAGACATATAGGAAAAAACCTCAAAGTTTAAGAACCTATTCAAAAATCTGAATAACATCACCGGCAATAGGCCAGACAACGGATCGGATATGGACCGGATTGACCTATATTCGAATTCGAATAAGTTTTTGCCGATCCGATTATCTGACGGATTTGAAAATTTTAGTACATATCTGAATCCGTTAATTTTAGGATTCCGATCCAAAAATTCGATCCGATTCGATTATCAAAAATAAAACACATGTACACAAAAAAATTAACAATAAGAATTTGGATAATGAACTAAAAAAAGGACAAAAAATGAAAAATTGAAATAAAAGAAAGAGGAAAAATCAAACAAGAGAAGGAAACAAAATAAAAATGAAAAAAGTAGGTCATACATTGTTATATTCATTCAATTTTTACTTATTTTCTAATATAAGTATAATATATTTGTGATATTTATTTATATAATATATTTTTTATTCGGATCAGATTAATAATGGATCGGGTTATTAAAAATTCATATCTGAATCCGTTTAGACAACTTTAATCAAATTCGAATCGGATCGAATTAATGGATTGAAAATCTAATCTATATCCATTTAAACAGATTTGAAGTCGGCTCAGATCCGGGTTGAAATCCGGTCCATTGACAAGCCTAACAGACAATTCTTGTCTCTGTTGAATATGTGACAAATGGATGAATTTCGAAAACAAAATTGTAATTAATGGGCACAAGATCAAAATCAATAATTTCAATCCAATTACATAACCATATTCTCTGTATTTTATTGCCCATCAAGACAAAACTACAATAGTTTTTTTTTTTTTTTTTGTTTTTTTGTTGGGGGTTTGGGTTGGGTTTGGGGTGGGGTGGGGTGGGTGGGCAGGACATGGCCAAAACTATTGAGTCTGTGATTGTAGGTCACTATTGCACCTCAATCCGTCGGATCATAATTCATGGATAGTTTGGAAGATCTTTGTCGTAAACTCCGTAAAGGGGAACTTTATAATCTTATTTTTTTTCGAACTACGAAGGATCTTGAATAACGCGTCAGGAAAATGCATGCAAAGTAAATGCCGTCTCTGATCAACCTATCAGGTGGGCCCCATCACGCTAAAGGAAAAGATAAGGTTCACCAAAGGCCAGATCGGACCCATCTTACACTGATATCATATCCATACAAGGAGTGGCCTATGGTATTGAACAAAAAAATTTAGTAGAATTTTTCAAATTATATAAGTTTTGAGGCTATATTAACACTTTTATGGTTTAAATTATAACTTTTATAGTTCATTTACAAAATCTTAAGTAACCTCAAAAATTATAAATAATTGTAAAAGTTATAAATGATCTTTAAATATTATAGATTAGCCTCAAAACTTATAAATAATTCTTAAAAATATATAAATAACCCACCAAACTTATTTAATCACGGTACATATTTTTTTATACGGTAGACTTTTTTTTTTTCATAAAAAAGACATGTGACTAGTGTTTCTTCAAACTTTAATTACTACCGCAAACTTTGAAAGTTTTTAATTAAACAATAAAAATTCTGAACGTTGACAAAATTCAGACCAAATAATCTACAACCGAAAGCAATTTACCGATCAGCAGAGTACCAAAACCAAAAATAGTATTAATCTTGATGAATGACAATTGACAAATCATTTTGATTAGAAGCGGTTCTTTGAAAAAGATTTTGAACATTTGAAATTTGAATAAACAAAAAAGGGGAACAATCTTCATTATTCTTGTGAAAACCACTGGAGTTCAAGTGAGTTGTAAAGTCAATTTCATTGACGACATTGAAAAAATCGAATCTACTGAGAAAATTACATGAATTTCATTAATTAAAGTCAACTAGAACAGAAACAAACCCGTGATTAACAAACACAAACACAGAAAAACATTCAATGTAATAATTACAAATAAATAAAATACACGAAACTTTAAAAAAAAAACTATCCTTCCAAAATGAGTAATATAGAGCGTGTTAGGGGGCGTACCTTCTTCTTCAGGCAGAAGTTGAGCGACAGATCTAAACTCAGTGCAGAAATTCAAAACCACAAATGCAAAGAGAAGTAGAGCGAATATTTTCTTCGAAATCATTGCTGTAGTGAACTGAAACTCCACCGACTTCCAATTATCTGTTCGTTCAACTCAAACAAGGGGATTATTGTTCAGAAATGCCGCAGCGGCGTTATAAGTATAAACACAGTGAGAGAGAGAGAGAGAGAGAGAGAGAGAGTTACCAAATCCGGAATACCATACCGAAAACGATAGTGTCAGTATAGAATATAAAAGGAAAAGTTTTTAAGAGAGGCAATGGAAATGGTGGTTGGGGATTAAGTCGGGAGAGAAACTGAGAGTGTTAAATGGAGAGAGAGAGAGAGATTGATATTGGTTTTTTTTTTAACCGTGTTAACATGGGGAGTTGTTGGGTGAGGGTAGATCACATATAGTAACAAGCAAGAGTGCGAAAATGAATTTTTTTTTTAAATATATATATATAATATTATGATACATAAAAAATAAAAAAATAAAAAAATAAAAAAGAATATGTCAAAGTGTCAAAAATAAAATAGAAGTTAATTTTTCAGTGAGCCATTAGAAACACAGTGGGTAGCTTAGCAGTAAGAGCAATGAGAATACAATGATAAATTATATCACCAAGAAGGTGAAAAGAGGGGCAGTTAATAAGTATTACAGGTTTACAATTCTTTTCTTGCAATTGGGCCCCCACCTTGGCGTTCATATGAAAAGTCGTCGATGGACGAATCGTGTGATCTACGGGTGAGGTTCCAACCCTTTCGTATAATGTTTAGGATCATAAGTTGATTCAATTGAGATTATGATTTATTAACAAATATTATGTGCATGTTCAAAAAAAATTACAAGATTTATGTACCAAATACTACGGTGTATTCTAAGACGACAAATAAATTAAAATAAAATTAAAATTATGCGGTATAAAAATTTATCTCTTTTATAAGTATATTAATTATTGTTTGTGCCTAAAGGTACGGAGTAATAAAAAAAAATGATTAATAATAAATATATTTATATTGACTCTTAAAATTAAATTACAAGGAGAAAGAAATAAATTTAAACACTGATTGTAATGAAAGTGTGATAGCTATGTCAATAGTGATGGTGATGGTGGTGGTGAATTTCGAGTAACAGTGATAGTAATGACAGTGATTGTAATTGGCAGCGGTGATAGTGAGGTGACAACGGTGGTGGTGGGCAATGACAATGGTGGTGGTAGGCGACGATAGATACTTCTAGACAACAGTGTGACGGATAATGACAAACGATAGTGACAGTGGTGGGGTGACCGTGGCGGTGGTGATGGTGATGGAGGTGACAACAGTGGGTGGCGACGTGGTGGGCGATGGTGGGTGATGGTGGCTAGTGTGGTGGGGGGTGGTGACAATGGTTAGGGGTAATGATGGGCGATGACGAATGGTGGTAAGTGTTGTGTGGTAGTAGGATGATGGTCCTAATGGTAATAAATATAATAATAAAATAATGATGATGGTGGATGGTGACTGTGGACGACGACAATAACAATCATCGTGGATGGTGATGGTAGTGGTAGGTGTGGTGAGGATGGGTGACAGTGA